CACTTAAAATTCCTTAAAGCTCCACATAACTCTTTTAAAACTGAATCAGAAGATTCATTCGATTTTAAAGTGTGTTGGACTTTAAGTGACACTCATTACAAGTTGTTCACACAGTGTAAACACATACAGATACGACACACTATCCGTAGTCGTTCTGTACACAATAATCCATTAAACTCCCTTACATTTCGATTGTCGCATTTTTCACAATTCAACAACTAAGTAATCGTACTTTTCACGAAGTATTTATAGAATACATAATTGCCCAATTGGTAGTCCATGCTTTTCAGAAATGAAACAACGTTAAATAAGATATATGTGTGAACACATTAACAAAAAACCTCGGAGAACAGTTAAAATAGCAGTTTATCGTTCGAGAAAAATAGAGTTACGCGATATTTATCACAGTCGCCAGTTAGAAGCTCTAAATTCTAAATTAACGAGTTTCCCGAGTACTCCTCTCACGCATCATATTATCTTGTTTTAGAAACGTGCCTGGCACAGGTGATGCATCTACATCAGTAACCGTGAGCCCTAAAGGCATACAGAGTTTCAGACCTGTCTACGTCCGCAGCATATTTTTGCCCGCGGAAGGAAAACTTCACGGAAATAATATTGTGTAGTATTTTTGCTGTGTATCAAGAACACAGGGTCATTAAATTATAGACTCAATGAAACCAACCGTGTCGTGAAACACGTGCAAAGTGCTACGAAACTCCGAAGTAAATTAAAATTAAAGATTAAAACATGGAAATGAATGACGACATACGAACTTCGGGCACTCATAATTTGTCGTCAAGATATTGATAGAATAACTACAAATAGTTTATTTCAAAATAAACGAATGTTACAACACCCAGCTGCTCGCCATACTAATGTTTCAATTACAACTAGCTACCAGGAAAGGTTCAAGCGGTTTTTTCATTGGTATAATTGGCCAATCGATTTCCGCCTGGATATTGGCAAATAAGGAATCAACCTGATTTTATTTGAAAGTCTGATCTTTCTGGTTGCTATGATTACTCGGTAGTTTTAATTGATTCGTCGGTTTGTTAACTTGTAAATTATGGACACCGAGAATGAAATCGAAAACTTGAAAATTTGCGCTCGTTCTGTTTGAGCTTTAACTTAGGAAACCAGCAGCAAATGCAGCAAGACGCATTTGTAGTGTTTGTGCTGTTAGTGACAGACACATAGAAATGGCTTAAAAGCTTCAAAGAAGAAAATGAATCATTGCAAATATCAACAATGGTGCTGAGGTCAAAACGGAAATTACTTTACGTTTTTAAAATAAAACTCAGGAATTTTATATGAAAAAAGAGTTTTTGTGGAATGGTAATGACTTGATTGATCAGAAACTTAAAATTTTGTTCTAAAAATGCTCACGCTTCCCGCAGCGGCTTCTTTTATACATTCACCGCGATCGCCAATTGTCAACGCTCGCTAGAGTGACATCAGAGACACGCTCATACCGCATGCTCTCGAATAATCTTTAACATTTTCACACATTTTACGCACGCACACCTGTTTCCCCTTATCCTACACCATTGTAATGTAAAATTTGCATCGTTACCAAGCAACAAATATTGTTGCGTCAAAGGAACAGGATTTAACACGTGGTTAAACGATTGATGCATGGTACCGAGCGTAAAACGTACTTTAAGTGGCTTTAATTTGCACGTGTATTTACGATTCTAAGAATGACCCCTTACAACAATTGCCAATAAATATTATACCATGTTCGAATGTCAGCGTGTACAAATCGAGATGTCAATCTAGCCTGCAGAAGTACGAACTGGAGAAGCGTATTTGCGCACGTTTTTCCCTGCGTTGCAATGGTAACGGAGAAAACAACGATAACGCGCGCGCAATAAAACCAACAATTTCGCTAATGATGAATGTCAATGGTACAGCAATGCATACGTACCAACAATTCGAAAGTTATGGTTTGTATAGAAACGACATTGGTTGACGTGCCGTAAAAAATGTGTACGAAAAATATGGTGCAACGATGAATGAGTTATCGGAGATCAATGAGCAAAAACGTGCAGGGAAAAAACATGTTAACAGTTCGAATGATTCAAAGACACGTATGGGGGAACGGACACCCGGATGAGGGACGTGTGAAATGATCTTTTGTACAATAATCTACGTAGCTCGCGAGCGGCGTAACCAATGGAAATAGAACATCGTCGTTTCTGGAATCGCGCAAAAATGAAATTACAGAAACGATGACGTCACCGGGATGACGGCGTATACGGTACAATATATGTCGAAATGCATACAGCTCATAGTGACCACGCGCGTTTAATGACAATTAACGATTTATCTGCTTCACGGCTGTATGCATAGGAACATATATGAATGCACGCGTACGCGATCGAACGTATCGTAAAATAGAGAGGTCTGTACTACCTTGCACCGGAACACGCGGAGGTATCAGCCGCGACCTCGCCGTGATGTCGGTCACCGTGACAGGTTAGGCGGTCGGTGAGTTCTCGCTGGTTCTTCAGAACTTGCAACTTCTCACTGTGGTAACGAACAACACACCAAAATAGATATATGCAATATCTTATTTGTCAGCACTTGTATCAATGGTGGCACGGTTTGTTCTCTGAACGTGTGACATACGAGCTCCGTTTTAATATCTCTTCTTCCTCGAGATGCTGCACTAGCTATGTTTTTCACTATGAACGAGGTGAGAGACACGACGAAAATAATACTATCCTTCTTCTGCTAATCTCACTCGAATGTTTCCAGCCGATCAGCTGGATCGCGACACAAAAAACACGAAAAACTTGTTCTCACTTTAACAACGCTGGTCCGGATACGTACTGACCTGCTGCACTGTTCCAAATCATAATCAGCTTACTCGATCACGAGAGTTCCGCTTTTTATATTCGCTCGCGCTTTCCCTTTAATAAAACCGCTGCGAAAAACCACGCGCGACTGGACGACGATTGCGAGAGCAATAACGACCACGTACTGCGTGTGCGACGATGACGACGGCAGTAGCAGCAGCGGCGACGGCGACGGCAAAGACGACGGCGGTGCTGGCGGCGATGGCGACGACGAACGACGTCGGAGGGACCGGCTGATGGAACGGGACAAATATATGCAGCTGACGGAAGCCTCGATGCGATTTTGTAAGAGGGTGAAAAGGTAAGGCGAGCGATGCTGGTTAGGCGACGGGATTGCGACTGCTTGCTGCTTGCTTGGCTAGCCGCTAGCGGGGGCCTGGCGCGACACCGACTGTTCGACGGCAGCGCCCCCTCACTCCTCCCCTCCGCCACCCCTCTAACGTTCTCCTTTCACCCCCACCTCGATTACGTCCCACCACACCTCTTCTCCTCACTGCTTGTGTGCAAACCTTCCGTCCTTCTTACCCTTTACCCTATCGGACGCATACACAAGCCTATTACTGCTCTTTCTCTCTCCCGCCTTCCCTCTCCCCTATACCTCGCTCGCTCCATTTTGTACGTTCTTCCACATTCCCCTCTGTCTGTCTCGCTTAGTCACACCTACGATTCCGCTCGATTCACATGCTCGACTGCTCGACTATGTCGTTCGTCCCCTCTTCGTCCAATATTTTATACATCCCTCCTTTTTCAGCCGATAGGCAATACGCACGCTTCTCGTCTTTCTACCATCTATCGCAAAACTATGCACCTTCTCGCTAATTCGGATCCCCTCGCGCTTTCCCTATCCGCATCCGGCTGTCCTTCTCGTACTCCCCCGTCCCTCGTTTTATCATCGTCATCCTGTCCTCGTCGGGTTTCCCAGCTCTGTTTCGCTCGATCATACACACGACTTTCGTGATACACACGTACACACGCCGTTTTCCATTCATCCTCTCTCTCACCCATGCTCTGTCCCCTTTCAACCACCGTTTATCTTCATTTTCTCTCCTTTCCCCGACTACGAGGAGCCAAGATCCCCTCCTCCGCATAATATGACTCGCCCGTCTCACCCCTTGCTGCACTCATGCCGCCGTGCCGTATACCATGCCACGTCGCCGTCACCGCCACCGACGATAAGGCACCAACCGCCCCTCTCCATGGCTCAATAAGCGTCATCGGCGCGCATGCGCCGATCTAGTCCCCACCACCCACACTCTTCATTTAGTCCGTCTCTTTTTATCCCGTGCCGCTTGGCGACTCAGCCTGCTTACCCTACTGGAGAACCGGCAGCGGCGTTAGGTTAGGCTTGGTCGCGCATCGCCCGCTGACTACTATCATGCTCGTTGCGGGTGGAAGAGGGTTACAGTCAGTCTCTCTTTCTCGCTTTTTCTTTCCCGGTCTCCTCTTCCCTTCTCGTTCCTACCTGTAGAAAACAGAACTACCAACACTTGCACTATACATCAGCGTAATCTTGTTTCTCTGCATGCACCGGGGCGCAAGGAGCGCAAGGAAGATCGAAAGAAGGAAAGAGGTAAAGAAGGTGACACGAGCTACAGAGATCCGAGGAGAAATTCTTTCTGTTCGATGCCGATAATCTGCGTGGATGCGTTACGGCGCGCAACGAGCGGAGATCGCCAGATAGGATAAACCCAGGGCTTACATTTGCGCGAGATTTGTACCGTAGGAAGCTAGCAGGACCGCGAAAAATCACGACATTGTCTTTCAACTTTTAGTCTTTTATATAACGATCGAACTCTAACGCACTCGTATCTACGGAGATCACTTTCACCCGTCACGCTTGATTTTGTATCGGAGCTGCGCGAATGAAAATCCAATCTCAGAATGATACAAGGAGTTTCGAGGCGAAAAGAAAGATGAAACAACTTCTGACGTGTACTGTACACCGTACGCCTGCTTAATCTGATTCTCTTGGCGCGTGTAGGAGGAAACGAAGCAAAGTGACAGTACGCGAGGAAGGCAACGAATGAGATCCGTAGAAAATTCTTTACACCGACGCCAATGGCCTCTGTATGCTACGGCTCGCAGCGGGAAAAGATCCCAGTGTCTGATACAGAAGGACCGTGCATATCGTTTGCACGAATATCTCCGCCTGTGTACGTATTATACGTACACTCCACGTATATAAACATATCTTGAACCATTGTTACCATTCCTTCTTTGTTTTACTTTTATCTCGTGTTTTGACGCTCCGATCTTGTTGCCCAAAAATAAACGACTCCGGAGTGAAAATGAATTTCAGTCGATGTACGAAAGTTATAATTCCTCGAGAACGTGGATCTCTATCGGATCGTCTAGATTAGTCTAGAAATAAGATACGAGACTGAATGTTTCATCCCCAATTAATACATGTGCAATGCTTCTAATAATACACTTTGGGGTTTCTAATAATTCTCGATAATACAAAACAGCGGAAAAAATGCTATTCGTATCTAATCATTGAACTACACAAGTTGTATTTTCGAATCTTCATAAGGTTTTAACAAAATTCGAGCACCGTTTCTGATAATAGAGTTTGGATGATCAAATCTCGTATCGGAAGCGTTAGTTTGTACGTAACTCGTGGATATGGGATAATTCTGTAGAATTTGAAAAATGAATGATATAGGTACATGCAGCATCCTCTCCAAGATAGTACATGGCATATCGGAGTAAGTCAGATCCCTGCGTGTACGTTAGAGTAAGGAAAAGAATAGATAAAAGAAAGGGAGGATAGATGCTGGGTTGCGGAACGCGAAGCAGAGGCGGAGGCAGCAGCCGCTGAAGTGTGATACGGAACGTCGAGGGGTACGAGGTGATATTTCTCATGAAACTGAACCGAATAAATTTTTAACAAAAACTGCTGACTCTCTCACTACATTACGTTACCTTTTTCTCTTTCACCTTTTTTCTTTACAGCTAGTTCGCTGCCATCTTTTTCATTCCGATATCCGTCGCTTCTTTCTCCCTTCAAGTGCCGCCGTGTTAGGTACCGGAAATACGAAGGAGTCCCATTCGGCGTACCTAGCACCGCGTACAGAAATTTATCCGCATTCACGATTGTACATAACTTTCGTGAAATATTGAACATAGTCGAGGTGAAGTACCGAGAACAACGCCGTTGGAGTCTCCCAAAATATTTTTCAATGTCCCTTCGACTTCTCCGTAGAAAAATAATTCATTCCACGGAATTATTTCGTGCGGTTATCTACGAGCACGAATGTAACTCGGTCCGCGTTAATCTTGCTGAGCCAATTTTACAATATAACTTTACAGACACTCGACGATGTCGCATCGTGCAGGCTTGTGAAAAGATAACGAAGACAGATTTTTAATATAGCCATTTTCCCACGAACCACGTAAACGACATCTAAAATGGAAACACGGTTGCCTCTATTGCGTATTCTGAGTACAAAACCAGCAATTTTATATAAATCAATAAATAAATGCCACTTCATTGCTGAATATAGAAGACAGGAATCCATAGAAGTTTAGTTTGCTAACGAAGAACATACATACATATCGACAAAAGTTAAATTAAAGTAAATGAATAATGTTTAAGTTGGACGAAATTTACTGTTAGCAGCCAAATTTGTATTGGTTAGTTTACTTTCAAAATATAGAAGTAAACACATATAATTTTTCTTTCTGCCAAATCGTTTATGATCTGCGAACATTGAAAGGTGAAACGAAGTGGTGAGCGATTCTGCAGGAAGGAAGATTACTCTTGCATATTACGCCACGATTTCGACAGTATCCCTGAAAAACAAGTACTGTTGCATAACCAGTTATTTGACCTTTGAAAAGTTTCCTTTGAGAGCATTGTGCTCCTCGGAAAGGTGGAACTAATGAGCGCAGCTTTTTCCACAAAAAGAGGAAAAGCAAAACTGAGCACTGGACGGATCTCATGGCGGGGTGGAACGAAGAGACAAATTTTCAATGGTGTAAAGTAAGAATAGGATGAAAGCAATTCGATCTTCACCCTCGGAATCATTTCATCTCATGGCCACGCTAGGGAGATTTTCAAATTGGGAAACAAGCGTAACGCTGAAGCGGGTGAAGGGACAGGAAGAGAGTAGCGATAGCGTTCGAGAGAGAGGAGAGAGGAGAGGATAAAAACCCCCTCGGGGTTCGACTCAGCATCTCGTGATATCTAGCTTTATTTTTGGCCACGGTCAGCTGTAGTTGCACGGCATTAGCATAATGAAGACAGTTCTCGTCTCTTCTCGTTCTCTTGAGCAACGCGTCTGTCTCTTTCACCAGCCGCGCCATATAAATCCACGCACACATATTTATTCCCACTCTGCATACATCTGTCCAGCTATCTGGTCATCTGTTTCCTGCTTCGCTCCAGACAAGAAATATTTTGGATAAAATGTGTTTTTAGATAAATTGAAAACTGGAAGATGAAAGTCCGCTGAAGTATTTCTTAATTTTCCAATCACGAGAGGGAAAAAGAAGACCAAGAAAGAGCTTTTAATTGCACGTTTACAAGCCCTTGCGAGCTCGTCGTTAAAGATCGCGTCCACGGAGAAACAGTTTGGTAGTAAGGCGAGTGCTAGCCAAAGAACGCAGGAGACCAAAGGGTCGAGTAGCCCTAGAAGACAGGGGGGGGAAGAGGAAGGAGACGGACGGCGATGACAAAGCGAGAAGGGAACCGGTGCAAAAAAGAAAAGGACGCACTAAGGGGGAGTAAAACTTGCTCCAAGACAGCACGACGCGTCGTGGCGCATCGCGGTGTACTAACAATACAATAAGATAACAAGCTGCGGGAAGGGTCCGTAACCTGACTTTCGTGGATGACTCGACGTGCTCCTTGGCACCGTAAATACGCTCCACACACGATATTTTGACTCTCTCCCACCTCCTCAAACGGCCTAATCTTCGCTAGAGAAGACATCGGAGTCCTAATCCTCTCCCAGCGATAAAATTGCTCGTTATTTCGTCCCGTGGGACCAACGTTCACTGCCAGTGTCCATAACTCCGCGTATATATGTATAACAAGCATGTATACATCTGTACTGAACATTACTACGTGTATATTATCTGAGAAACAGCATCCTCTTCTATGTATGTGTATCTACGTTTGCAGTCGAATCAGTTACATCTAGAATTCGAATTAGACATCAGACAAATCACGTGTACGATGTATGTACGTGTACATACATACGTGCCTTCCGTCGCATCACAAGTATCTCACTTGCTAAGAGATTAGAACTAGGAATCAGAGATTCGACAAGCCACGTACAAATTGCAGTATACGTACAAGTGCCATTGTGACGATTTGAGCCATTAATCGGTTTACGCGTTCGATTTGATTACAACTACTAAAATAGAATAAAACGGTTTTA